ACTACAGCTTAAGTATACAAAACGTAGCACGGCATGCAGTCATGGAGAGTTCATTGCACTATATCCTGCAAAGTATGCAGCTATGGCTTTCTGTCTGCTTTTGTACAATACCTCTGGAATGAACCTTCCATTACACAAACTAGCACTCAGCGGCTTGCTAAGCGGCATTAAGGGTAATACCTTCCTTCCCCTGCCATTGCACTAACCCTTCCCCACCGCCATCCCCGACCATCAGCCTCACTGGCTGTCCAATTACAATAACTCTATATGACAAGAACACTAAAAGGTTTCTGAACTTTTAAATAACATTTGACAAACTATTTCGCTTGCTTTTAGCAGAGAGAGTACTATTTTTGTGATGACTTTTGGAGAAATAATGTTTATTTTGCAGGCTGGACGATAATTTTTATGTAGCTAAGAACGTTGTTTTCAATATGTTTGGGTAACATATGCGTAAATTAAATACATATTGAAAATATCCAATTATATTTACCTTATAATCCTAATTGTTATTAAAAATACAATGTTAGCTTATATCCTAAGATAACGATGTGACCGCAAGCGACAATGACCTACAAGTTTGATATTACTTATAAGGAGTATATCGACAACAAAAAAACAAAACAAAACTAATACCATAAGCAAAAATAGAGTGTAAAAGTGCCGTAGCATTTAACTTCAATAACTTTCAAACTTGTATTTATTAAATCAAAACCTTTTTAATTATTAACATTAAATAGTTTATAAACATACACTATGGTTAATAGATTTTTTATTTCGAATACCGCTGTCACCTAATGTGAAATATGTTTTTCTCGTGTATGATTAATACGAGAATGTTATAGCTTACTTTGCCAATACAGCGTTTTATCGGGTAAAGTAAGTAATAACATTCTTTGAATGTCAATTAAAAACCCGACTGGAATATGAATTCATTATTTTAAATTTGTTTCCAGTCATCAATAAGAACGTTATCAAAACAGTCGAAACAATAATGACTTAAATGTATTTCATTTTTTGTTATACTCTAAAGTCGTAGATTGTTGAAATTGCTGAATAATTTCATTAGCTGGAATTGATAGAGTGTAACTATTTCAAATGAGATATAAATTTTAAAACAAGCCAAATGTATTCATCTTTAAGGTTTTTTATACTCGTATAGAGTAAATGCAATATGTTTCAAAGCTAATTATTTTATAACATGACATTTTCCCGCTCACATCAATTCAATTTACATTTAAACTTTCTATATCATTGAAACTTGCCAGTGGACCTATATTTGTATTGTTTTGTTATTGCTTAGCTATTTACCACTGCATTATTATTATATTGTGATTTTACATTAGGATGACCTTAATATAAAAAAATACATATCAAGGTTAAATCGAACATTTTATGTTTTGATAAATCATCGTATGTATTAAAATGTTACAGGGGTTTTTGTTACCACTCAACGGATTTTCACATTTTTTCTGTTGAAAGAAATGTAATCTTGAAAGGAAGGGAAGGTCGAAGCCATAACTTTATTTGTGGGTTTAATTTTCTTGGAAATTATGTTTTAATAAAAAAAGGATAGTTAGTTTTGGTACGGTATAAATTGATTCTGCCTTATACAGACAGCCACTTGGACTTGGAATTTTTTTCTAGAGTCGTTTTGACATTTTAAAAACTAACCATCATTTCGATATGTCGATAGACGTTCGAACATAAAGAAAACTAACAACAGACAAACCTATTGTAATCTAATACCTTCTAAATAAGCAATAGTTTGCCGGAGCAATCTTCCTGTCATAAGTTAAAATTTCCACAGTATAAACTTGTATCTACAAAGATTATATTAAGACGATACGTGATAAATAAATATTTGGGATATATAGTTCGAAATATCACATTTTCTGGAAACAAAAAATCCTTAGGATAAAACTACATTTAGTAACATAAAAAAATATTTAATACCGACAGTCAATATTTTTTTAAGCAACTTGTATCGTAAACATTTAAGTGATAGTTTGAGAGCAGCTGTTAGTTAAAGAAATTACATTTACACAAACTTAAAATGATAGCGTTGGCTGTTATGTTTTAATAGGTTATATAGTTTTATTTAATTGTTTTGCCTGCATCCTAGTTTGTTACATTGTCTAAAGTTTTTGTAAAACAATCTTTATAAAAAATGGCAAGTTATAATAAATTGTAGCTTAATTAAATCGTAGATGTGAAACATTTAACAAAGCATTTGTCTTATTAAACGTGAGATTAATGTTATCTAATAATTAAAATGTCACTCCATTCTCCAAATAATCTACCGGAGCTATTAAAATGCGTGAAACTGCGATTTAAAACAATAACGGTGAACGAAGCTCCAAAGAGAGGCCAATGTAGAGTAGTGGGGGCTAACTCCACCCATCTCTACTTGGTCAAACATATTTTTTAATGAGTTTATGCTTTGTTAAAAACTGTTTTGTCATGGTGTTACATCATTGTTCATCGAACAGCTTTATTAATTTACTTCCTAAGTAAACTATTAATCTACATCACAAAAAAACACATCACACTCGCCTATTTGGTCTGTTGACGATTCGAGTGTACAATCGAAATTGATTACCATTTATCATCTTTTATATGTACTTGTCGTATTGTGAGTCAACAGTATAAGTGAAAATATTATTACTAGTGTTATTAAAAGTATATCCTTTTATGTTTTTTTCAGACAAATAAAAACACAACAAGTGTTCAAAATAAGTATACATAGCAAAATATATAATTTTCATTAGTTTAACCTGAGTCAATTTTTGATTAAGCTTAATAAACTTCTTTAACGTGAAACAGATACAGGATAATTGTATATCCTGTCCGCGTTTTAAAGAACGTTTTAATAGCTTGATTATTTAATCTTGGACTGTTTTGTAGCCTTTATGGCATTTAAAAAATTAGCAAAGCTTTGTAAGAAAGGTAAGACTTTTCCATTAACTAAAGCGGTTGAGTGTTTTATATGATTGCATCTTACTATATCATTTCTCCAAGTTAAGTACTTTACCATGTCAAATGCATGTTGGACTAATCAACTAAATTGATGATTAATATGTAAACAATAAAAGCTACATGGTTACGATTTTATGGGTTCATAATTGCATACAAAACGTTGTTTTAACATGTAAATCCAAACTATAATGTGCGAAAATTATGCTGGTGTAAAACGTAATTAAATACTTTTACCACCTTATTTTTGGCAAAGTACACTATAAGACAAACATATTTTAAATTATAATTTTCCTCAGTTAAACTGATATTCGGAGTGTAGCACCAACAAAAAGTATTCATGTTCTAGTCAAACGGATCTACTTTCAAACGGATTTTCATGGAAATGTCAGGAGGCCAATCCAAACAATGGTTTTGGTGAATCGAGGCAGAACAATGCCAGAAATGAGCACAATTACAAGCATAGCTTGGCAAATCTGCCTCTCGTGTCACCTTTGCCCTTCATGCACTCCTTGTTGAGTTTGTTCTGGCTGTTTTGTCCCAAACACTGTCCCATTACAGGTAAAATATGGACAAAAAATGTCATAATTAATTCAAAAACTTACTCTCTTTGTTGTAAGTGTATTACAAATTTCGAGTTTTTTCTAGCACTGTGGTTTTTTACCCGATCTTCTTGTTGCAATAATGTGCCCAACAAGTATTTACCTCATTTATATCTCTGTTATTTAATATTTTTAAGCGTCAATCAGTTGTATAGTTTTAGATTTTTTTTTATGTATGTAGACTGCGATAAGAAAATTTGTGATTGTTTTCATTATACCATTGTACACAATTTCTAGGCTACAACTGGAATAGGCCTTAATGTTTTTAGTCTTGAATACTATACATGTTATTAGCTGTAAATTATTTCTTAAGATTACAATATTTATTTTCACACACTACACTTAATCTTTCCTATATATTTATTCTACAGTATAAAATTATTCTGTTTATGTAAAAAGCAACCTCAAACATAGAAATAATTACTGCTTGCAGAAAAAAAAAACTAGAAACAGACGAATGATTTAACTTAGCCTTCAGAGGACTGTTGTTGTTTATACATTGTCCCTCGCGATTCGGAATGAAGTTGGGTTTGATTTACAGGGGAAACGGAACCGGAACTTGTATAAAACAGCACGGGGAAGCATGAATGGGAATGAGTTGCGGAGATCCCCTATCTGAGTTTCGAGCAAACGCATTTACATTTCTTTATGTTACATTTTCTCCATTTACAAAATAACATTACGTATTATAGAGTATAATTTTACTATATAAATAAGACCATTCTAGAACAAGTAATTTTCATTGTATATTATTATGCTTCTGCTAAAAACTTTAAAAGAAAAATTTATCACATATTATTCTGTAATTTGAAAGATAAGGTGCTCTACCTGGCCAGATAAGTAACATAAAAAAGACGTTGGCACACGTTGTACGTTGTATATTTCTTAGTACAGTACTTAAATATGAGTTCAATCTGTGTCTCTAATATCTAGGTTAAAGGTTTTTTAATGCCCTTTACCCAATCTTTAGTTTGATAAACGTTATTTCAAAGACAATACAATAAATATTATTTAGATGATACTTCCTAAATAATCTACTATGATGTCACATATTTATTCTCACAAGAAAAAGTTCTATATCACCCGAAACTGGTACATATTTTGCATAGTAAGCACGTCCACTTCAGACAGTCATCTCATTATGCAAGACCTTTATTAAATGCACTCCTAACTATTTTAAATAAATGCGAGGGTTTTTATGTGGATTTTGTATAGTCAATTGGTTCTCTAAAAACAATCATTTATATTACCTTGCTTATTATATATTTTTAATTCTTTACATATAGTAAAAGCTACTATGTTTGTAAACATTTAATACAAAGGGTACCATGCCATTCCATTTTAACCATGTAGATTCGAAGTAGTACAATTGGTTGATTATTGCAATGGAACTGACAACAGTGACACCGGTGTGGATCGTACCTTGGTGTTCTGGGACCGGTTTGATGGCGGCTGTGAGGGCCAGTGCCACGGCAGCTGTCATTGTCACCAGATGCCACATGTCACACTCACTGTTACACTGACACGTCACTCACTGTCACTGACGTCACCAGTACATGCCGCCCCCGTGACTCGCTGGCCGGGACTGAGGCCGCCACATCCCCCGTCCCTCCGCCCGTCCACGCCGGTACACCACGCAGGACGGCATGCGCCGCCACCCTTCACAATATTTACCTTATAAATTCCCTCTTCCTATCTCAGGGCAATATTGATATCAACCCGAACGATGACACAATTTGGAATACTTTATTGAAAGCGCGGCCTTCCAGATATTGCCCCGATATGAAAACTGTTTTTATTCCTCCGCTTTGAACAATATTTGCTATTGACTTTCTATCTAACTTTTAATAATATGCCCTTTCCATAAAGAATCCAGAATTTGTTTTCCGGCCAGGTCGGTTGTGGCGGTGGTCGACCGTTCCTATTATTGGCAAAAGTGACTCCTGGACCCCCTTGTTTGTTGAGTTACAAGATGAAATCGTTGAGCAAATCTATAACTTGTTGAAATATCCATTGCAATATTGGGATTTATATTAGATGCATTATTAAATATACTGCTATTAGGTGTCGTGCACATAAAATTTCCATTTTGGTATTTATAATGTTGCAAGCTTGATAACCACTGTTTTATAAATTACATACAGTTATAACGGTATGTAGTTATTCTATATTCGTATGCGAGATATTTTGTTAATGTATCTGAATAAATATCAAAAATTGTTTATTTCCGTACAAAGCTATACCGACAAAATGTTTAGTTTAAAAATAATGTGATTTAAGTTAGATTAGCAGGTTACATCTCTCGTTACTCTTGTATCACTACCATCTAAGGAAACTAGTACTTAGACGAACTCAACAATCTAGAGGAATAATCTTAGTTATGTCCAAACGATGCTGCCTAGGTGAACTGGACAATACAGGCTGCAGTTTTGAGTTATCGACACAAAACAACCCTCTGCAGTTTAGGAAGTAAAACTTGGGTGTTTTGTTAACAGTTAATATGTACCCACTATGTCAGTATGTGCGTTTAACTGCAATACTGATATAGTGATTTTTATGCTTAAAACCCCTATAAATTAGTAATAAAAATTCATTGTGGGTGTTTATGTGTTTGTAAGTGTTGTGTTGTACTAGATGTGTTAGTAGTGATGCTAAATCACTGTCGGTGGTCGAGGAAAAATTGAGCCGTGTGTCACAGTTCATCCAGGGTATTCTCCGAGCCAAGGATATTTAAATTGAGTTGGGATGCAATCTAGCTCCTAAGTTAATTGAATGCCAGAAACTGCGTGAGCACTGAGGGCATAGGTCCAATGTACCTGACATAAAGTTATAAACCAACCTACAAACAATCTATGGTGTGAATCCAAGAGAGTTGATGGTTTTTATCGTGAAGAGTTGGATCAATTCAGAAAGTTCAAACTACAGGCTGGCCACATGTTTGCGCAAAAGCATTTTTACCTCTTCAAAAACCTAGGAATGCTAAAGAAGTTGTTTGTCTGCAATTATGATTAATTATTGAATGGCCATGCTCACAAATATTTAGATAATTGCATTAATATAAATCAGCTGATATATAACAAAAAAAGGAATGTTTTGGTAAATTAAGTCCTAGTGTCACCCTTCAGGTGAGCTTTTTTCTGTGTCTGATATAGTTTAAGATAAGCTGTAATAACAATTCCTCTACAAAATAGTGGGAATAATTGGGAGATGCTTTTCATTAGTGTTTATAATCGATGACTTACCATACCAACAATTTCAAAGAGATAGAACGATTTGGTGCAAGTATAGCTCCCTTAAAGCAGTTAGCACTTATTGTATAGCTAGAATTGATTGTTACCTTTTCATTACATCCCATTCCTGGTATAATGTGGAAGGATTGACTCAATCGTGGCTAAGTGTTATTCTCTTGGGGTGTTTAAAAGCCATTCTGTTAGTGTTAGTTGTGCCGAAGGAACTACAAACCAGATTCAATAATGCAGTCAACTCAACTTTAACCAACGTTTTATCTCTGGTTTGAAAATGATAATGTCTATGTTATTTTAGTCTATTTAAAAAGCTATATAAATTGTGAAAGTTTGGACTCCACCACATATTAACATTTCTTTCAAGGTGTTTTTGTATTCATATAGTTTAAGCCTTCTACATACTCAACGCACTTAATTCCAAGTAACATAATCTCTACAACGGCTTACCTAATCAGGTAGTAACCACTAAAGGGCATTTATCAATCGATCTATTATTAGTGTATTATAAACATTTATCACTCTCTAACTTATTCGTTTTGGTTGCAAATCAACGAAACGACGAAAAGTAATTGGACTGAGTTTTACGGAAAGAATTCAAAGAACCAGTCCTAGATATGCACATATCAACAAACATTTTCTCGGGCAAGGCCTATCCAAAGTTTTGTAATGAAGAATTTAAGTAAAAATGTATTGGCATGCAATGAAACTATCTCTCCCCCCACCCTACACACACCGAAGAACACTAAAAAACCTGCTGAAGAGGAGAGTTTCTATTTGTTTAAATAGATTTTTACTAAAATATTTTCTCAAACATGACAGATGTATTGCACCCCAGTGAATAATTAAAACAAGAAGAGCACGTAGGCTTTCTGGTACAGGGAATGTTTAATGAAATGAACATGACATCAGGACAATATTATAACACAATGTACTGTATTTAGCACTCGAAAATGTCAGGAACAGATCGTCGTATCCATGTATATTACGGCCATCATGTAAGGCATAAAACAATCAAGTTCATTTCGTAAATGTTTTACAAAATTGTGTTCTTGAGATATTTAAGTGGAATTAAATAAAAAATCTAATCTCCCAACACAGCAAATCTACAGACTAAATCAGTTTAGATTTGCCTGATTAGGTTTTAAGTTATATATCTTCTTTTTATTTCCTATATATATATATATATATATATATAAACTACAACTGTTTACTTATTCTCACGAAGCATAACATGAAAACTTTAGGTTTGCAGTTTAAACAGATATTCTCAGTAGTTACTAAGTTTACAACAGCGCTTTAATATACACAAAGGTGTTACGCAAACGCACACACGTGCAAACGTGTTTCAAACGTGTACGCTTATTAGTGTTATAAGTTTTACAGAAAAGTTTTGAAAAAATTGTCAAATGTCTTGAGTGTTTAAAATGGGGAAAAACAATGTTCACCACATTAAACCCAGTTCCTCATGTCTGATCAAAAATACATAGTCCGAAAAAGTAAATCGGTCATGGGGTCCAAATATTACAATGAGACTTCTGTTCCCAAAATTGAAAGTTGCTATTAATTTAGGGAATTCAAGAAAGAATGTCTTATAAAATTATTAAATAATCAGTTAATATTATATTAAAGAAAATATTGGTATTAATCTAAATCGATACATTTTTTAATATTCTCGTATTTATTTTAGTGTAGTTTTTAGACATCATCTATACTGTATGTTGTTACTGTATGATGTGGCATGATCGTCTCAACTGAAATAAACAATTAACAAAATGTGTCCTGGAAGTAAAGGAGTTTTATTTACAGTAGTTAAATAGCTTCAATCTACATTTTTCTGCTATAAGAATGAGTTTATGATTAAACCTGTTAGAATTTGTTTTACTCTGAAATCACAAACCTCCTGCGTTGTTGGAGAAACTGCTTAATCAGGTGTAAGTGTTGCTCTCTGGGGACGTTTAGCAGTAATGCTGCTGTGAGGCTTACTTTTACCCTTACCTCACAACCACCTACAGCTTGGAGGCGTATAATACAATCAGAACATTCACAAATATACCTTGATCCACCCCCGTAGATTTTTGAAAGCATACCTCTTATGCTATGAGAAAATTGTATATGTTTTTACTTGTTAATTCATAGTGCATAACTGGCTTAAAGAAACTACTTACCTATAAAGAACCTGATTGTTGTGTATAAGTACGATTTAAAGAAAATATTCGAGATAGTTATATAAAGGAATATATTTACATATAGTTCCATAAATATCTTTATTATTAACTAGTTGTTACCCACGGGCTTCACCCCGTTTGACATCATAAGTATTAATAAAACTATTGATTGGTTAAGTTAACCTGAAATAAACAAAATACAGTAAAAGAAACAATAATAATCACACCTGATTTTAATAAGGTAATAAATTGAAAGAATAACAAAACAAATAAGTACAGCTGAAGTATTTTTAACATTAGGTATATGAAAAGTTCCCTTTAGAACGGAATTACGACCTTAAAGGGCAATTTATGAAATAATGGATAATTTTGCACAAGGTTTCTCGTCATGACGAACATTTTAAGTATATGGTTTATGGGCGTGTGACTTGTAGTTTTCTCAAAAGTTCATGGGTACTTTTGGCTTTATATATAGATAAGAAATTATAAACATTTTTGAGAAATTCGTGTAGAGTATCCATTCGTTTAATTTACAGAAAACAAAACCTTTCTTTTTTTTATATTATATAGACATACAAGAGGATGTACATTTGTAATCCCAAGAATTCAGATTTAGGCCTACACATAATCCTCTTTATCGAGAGCATGTCCTCTGTACAAAAAAAACAGTATATCTTTTGGTCTAGTTAAATATGTTTATTGTGTAATGTAATGGATTTGGCAAACTGTGATTTTAATGGTTTCAAAATAAAGTATTTAGTCACCAATCATTAATTTCCCAGCCTACTTGTACAAGGTGTCCCATCCATCAACAAACATTTTTGTTGCATTATTTAATATGTTTTGTATGTAAAAGGCAATAAAAACTTATAAACTATATATTTCTTCAATTCTTTAGCTATTATTCAATGTTTCAATAACCTTTGACAACCATACTTATTTTATTGAACAAATTTTGATTTCTTAAAAAATTAATTTTATTTTTGGTTAAAATGTTATACTCAGCCTATCTTTTCAGAAATGTAGGATCTCTAATTTCAATAGTTTCATTTCATGCAATACATAAATTATACTTTGAAAGCTTCATCTTAAAAAAGGCCCATTTATAGCTTCCAAGAGAATCTAACTAACCAGAACTACTCTAAATATGATGAATGTCGAATCAATTTTTATTTTATAATATTATAATAATTGAAAATTTAGTCATGATTACAGAAATACTCGGAAAGAATAATTGTAGTTATACAACACATAATTATTGAAAGATTTTTTTTAATATATGAAAAGAATGTGGTTCTATAGTAACCAAAGAGTGTTGTGTTTTGATGTGTTTTGACTTTTCCTTTTGGGTCTCTTAATTTTAGAAACATTATTTAAACCAT